CTCTAAGCTCATCGTACTCCTGCGCTGTCCCTGAAAGTTCAATCCATCTGTCGAAATAATGGCTAAGTCGGGCGGCGTACTGCGTAGCCGTCTCACCATCAGCTGGCTTTCCTGTCCGAAATCTGTCCCGGAATCCTTCCACAGTAAATCTAAATTGCTTCAGCAAAGCAGCTTTCACCTTTGCATAGTTGGCTGCATCGGTCGGCGTCAGCCTACCGTACACACTGAGCGCTTCACCACTCAAGCAAGTACTCAAAGCAGTTGCCCATTGATGTTCCGGCCAATTCTGGCTCCTTGCAATCGTCTCAAATCTGTGAAGGTACGCGTCAAGGTCGTCCTTCCTTTCATCAAACGATACGAGCAGCTTGCTTGGGTTCAAGCGGAAGCCATGATCTTCCCATTCGCTGCTTTCAACTCGAGCTTGGACGGGAGTTTCACTTCGCTGTTGCAAACGGAGCAGCAGCTCGAGTTCTATTTCGTGCTGCCGCTGCCGTTCCCTTTCAGCCATCTCCGCTTCTCTTTCTTCTCTCGCCCTTTCGGCTGCCAACTTTTCTCTCTCCAGCTCCAACTTCAATTGCTGCTCTCTTTCTTCTTTCAGCTGTCGCTCCTTTGCCTCTCTTTCTTCTTTCGCCATTTCAGTGGCCAACCTCTCCCTCTCCAACTCAGCTGCTTTTCCACTTTGGCTCTTTCGACCGCCAACCTTTCTTTTTCCAGCTCAGCTGCCTTTTCTTCTTTGGCCCTCTCTTTTTCTTCTTTTTCCTTCTGGGTGACCCACTTCCGTAGTTCGGCGCCAGAAAGGCCCATCTTCTCACCAAGAGCGACTAACTTTTCGAGATCCATTGTGTCTCGCAAATAAAACCTTGCCGCGTGCAAAAAATATCTGCCTAAATTAGTCTATCGGAACACTCTCCTGCACTCGTTAACGAGAACACTTAGCAACACACAAAATCGTTCCGATAGCGGTATCAACAACTCGAGGCTCTTTCTCACTACTTTGGACACACTGTGCACGAAAAGGATCCTGTCGCGGACGCCAGATTAATTGTCACAGGTTCCGGTAACTTGGGAGGCGATCGCCAGGCTAATTCCAAGGGCCGAAGTATCGGCCCCCCGAACCGCACCACGAAAGCGTGGACAATTTAGAAGTGGTCCTATTAGGCGCGCCAGCGGACGCCGGCTGTGGACCAAAGAACAAGTCAGAGCCGAGAGTTGATAACCAAAACAAAATTATATTCTCAATTATGGCAGATAAAAACGATACACAAGTATGCACACTCGACAATAGTTGAATACAATATGTCACCAATCAAACAACGTACTACACAGTACAATCAGCCACACTCGAAACAACGTACACAGACAACAATACGCACTACAATGCAGTCACATGCATCGAACAACCAAGACACTGAAAGACTAGAGAGTTAGAAAACGTATTCAGTCCAAAGTTCTTGGAACAAAAGTATGGATGATACTCTTCCGAGGATCACTCACTCAAAGTCCAGCGTTGTCGTTCCGCTGCCCCCGAAGTTTCTCTTCCAGGAAACCTCGCGTCTTCAATTGGCCGCTCACCAGGCTCCAAACTTTTTCGCCGGAAACAGGTCGGCTTCACACACGCAGCTGTTGCCATGCGTCTTCGCTCGATAGCGGTAGACACACACTCTTGCCTGTAGCTCGAGTCTTCACCCCTCAGGTGGAAATGCTCTTCTTCTCCTCCTTTGTCACGGAAGACAAAAGGCTTCGCTCACAAGGCGGAACACCTTACGCACTCTGGCACATACTTTCTTCTTCTCCTGCTTTGTCACTAAGGACAAAACCTTCACCGACAGACGCGGCGGAATAACCCCACGCACACGGGCGCTAACTTCCTTCTTCTCCTGCTTTGTCACTAAGGACAAAACCTTCACCGACAGACGCGGCGGAATAACCCCACGCACACGGGCGCTAACTTCCTTCTTCTCCTGATCTCCCATCTCGGCTGCTCGATTAAATACCTTCCGCGCAAGATTCCAGAAATTTCTCATCATTTCGTCGGCGCGATACGCAGCGAAGGCTGGGGAAAGGGCGAGACGGTACGAGGGTCGTCCGCGACGGATGGCGCAACCCTGCATCACCACGCCCCTTTCCATCGAGAACGTTCTGGAGCTTGCTCGGTAGCCGATGCGAGGAGGTTTCGTCGGCGCACCTACGCTTCCGAGGGAGAGGGACGCGCGCCCGGGGAGTCTTTGGATGCTTGTTTTCTTTTTTTTCTTGTATCGTTCACCTCGAGGCCTCTCTCCCGCGCTTTATTGCGAGAATTTGGCGGCGCGTTCTTTTTGAGCGCTCGTTTTGTGACAACAGTAATGACCATTAAAACACAGTACAAGTTATGCCGTCTCTTCGCAGTTGCAGGAGCATCACAGAAGGCAAACGACGATGTATATGGCATTTCAATACAAAATAAGTATGCTTCCTTGATAGCCGCCCGTAAGTGTGACGATGGTGTTGGCAGCTTCAGCGATTCGCGACGAGATCGGGCTATTGGTGGCAGCACCGTCCCCACGCAAGTGTGGATAGGCGGTCGGCGGCGCGTATAGAAATGCACACAGCGGCGTTTCGTTGCGTGCGCTCTGAGCCGATGGTCGGTGAATAAAATGCGTTGACTACAGTTTACTGGTAATATCTATGCTCTTCTCTACTGAATCGGTGCACGACGCCTGTGCAGCGTTAACATTACCCGCGGGTAAAGCGCATTCTGCCGTTCATACGGATGCTCGCCATAAGTGACGCCCTTCACGCTTTCGCACTAAATCACGCCTTTGCTGTGTTTCTTGTACGTGGTTAGCTCGTGCTCCGGCTGTTACCCACTGCTGTAGGGTGTCTGAACTACTTATTTACATCTTTGTCATCTGCATACTAAAAAAAGACAGGAAGATCGTAGAAAGCCCGCATATTTGTGTGATCAGTTCAGTATACCACCTTTCGCACCTTATACGCATATGATTTTTTTCTCTCATTCTGCTCACCATGAAATGTGGGGCAGTCGATAAGTCTAGTCAGGAAAGCTTAGTGGCTGATGACGCTTTGCGCTACACTGCGTTTATCACGTGTACGTTTTTTTAGACAAAAATTACCACTGCCTTTAGTCGGTCACTAACAACTCCACAGAAACGCTGAAGACAATGCAAAAAAAAAACAAGTCTTAGTGAAATCATACGGCATTATATATAAGGCGTGCCGTCTGAATTAATTTTCGACGTCGGGGCTCTTTACAGCATTCTTAAATCTAAGCACACGGTTGCGCACGGTAACTCTGTTATAAGTACAGTTTAATTACTGATGTGTCACAGTTTATGTGATAGTAATGTTTCTATGCGGTGGTACCATGGCGAGATAAACACAACTAAGGCTCCTCGCATGACCGGTAAACTATATTGCCGTAGTTGTACATTTACCAACAACGCGCAAATGCATGACCTAGAGCCTGTTTTTTTTTTTAGAAACCGAGTCGCTATAAAACTCTGCATTCTCACACAATTGAATAGTCTTCATGTTTGGGAGGATGCCAAGAGCATTTTGCGATGAGCTTAAAACAGAAAGTGGCACCCACTCTGATATCATTCTGCTGATTAATGGGTACGACGACAATAAACAGCACTCTGGAAAGTTGCACTCCCCAATTTTTTACAATGCATTAGCAGCCGAGCAAGACCAAATACTTTTCGTACGTCGTTTCAGGCATACGTAGAAACAGTTACACATCGCACTTACATGACCGGACGAACCACACTTTAAGAACGTGCATGACGTACGCGCACATAGAAACACGACGTGGCTAGCAGACGACACACGGAGCAATCCACACTTCACCGTTTCGGCCAGTCGCCACCAGGCGGCGACTCTGCTTGATCTCGCGGCCAATAGAAAACGTTTACGGAGACAACAGTTTCAGGTGCTCATGTAGCTACACAGTGCTTCTTTGCGTCAATGAGCAAATGAAGTCCCTTCACAGAGTCTGTATTTGACAATGACATAATATAAACCTGGCCATCTTTGGGTAGCTCATGAAGGAACAAAACACGGAGGAAGCAGATGGGACAAGCGCTGGTCTATCAACAGAAATATTTTATTCAAAAAAAATCCTATGCAACAAAAAAAACGTAAACAAAACACCAGCTTATTATCGGTCAATCAAAATGATTTCTTGTTCTGATTGTACCACCAACGGCTAACTCATGCATATTCTGTCACACTTTGCCATGTGGTAGGCCTCTGCAATCTCACATGTGCCTTGTTCGTGATGGTGCGAGATGGTGGCCCTAGTTCGCACAAACCGCAACCATCTCCAAAAAAAGCAAAAAAAAGTGTGTCATTCCTTCACCTGGAATTCCAGCATATACAGATGACTACGCACACGTTGAAGATGAGTGACGGGACGCTTCCAACAATGTTCTATGGTAGTTTACGTCACTTACTTAGGCGTACTTCAATACGCTGTGCCAACCTTGTTGCATTTATTGGGAACAAGACTTCCATATAGAGGGCTGAAATGTATAGTAAAGTGTGTTCCTTATAGGTCGGTGTATATTTTCGCGTTTACGGTATTCCGGTCGATGTGGACAGTCTGCTTCTCTCTACTTGATAATATTTACGTACGCTTAAAAAGCCCTGTAATCTATGGCGTCCTTGCTTTGCAACACAGTGCGGTGAACATTTATCATATTCGGGCCGCGTTCCTGTTGCCCCTGGAACCTTCTGCTGGCTTTCGTAAGGTGGTGGTTTTAGTATACGCAACTAAATGCGTCCATTCGTGTTCATAAAGCTGAAAATAATAGTGAAACTATAATATTAACTGTGTCCAAGCCTAGTAGAACTAGAGCAACTGTGGCGAATGCATAAGGCGTTGTTTGCTTGCGGAGACACGCACAAATGACGAGTGCCATGGTGAGTCCGTACATAATTGCGTCGTTGGTCATTCCCATATTGTGCTTTTCCTTCGCCTTGTGTCCTATTTTTCGCAGAAACTCTGGACAAACGATCCGGTGATCGAGGTCTGTCCGTACACCAACACGATCAAGCCGTCGCCGTACACGCGGTCCCGACTGCCCCGGAAGGTGTCAGTTGCGCAAACGAACGGGCAGGCGCGGACCGTGGACGGAGCAGCTGTGGGCGTGGCGGGTGGTCCTTGTGGAGGCGGCCTCATGCAGCGCAGCAGACCACTCCTCGAGGCGCCAAAGGCAACCAGCTCCATGGGCGCTCGCCTGGCGCGCATGCAGAGCATGTTTGTCAAGAGCACGGAAAAGGGCTGATCGACTTGGACTTGCGCTGGCCGAAGGTTTCTCCATGCTCTTCGACTGGACGAACGCTGCGTGGACGTGTGTTGAAGTTGTAAGCCAGAATATGTTAGTCTCAGCGTTCTCGCGCGTGTTGTTATAGACACCGAAAAAAATGTTTTTTTCATGTTTTATGAAGGAATTGTTATGAAAGAGCGCTGTCTGGCCTCGTGCGTACGAACTCTGCTTCATCAGGATTCCAAAGTGCTGTAAAAAATTCAATATCAGCTAAATAGTAGTCATGACACTAAAGCTAACATCCATTACAAGTAGGTTCCAAATTCGACTGGCGTAAAATTACAAATAGGGAATTTCATATAAGTGAACTAAATGTATGCGTTCATGTATTTTTTTTTCTTTTGTACTCCCCTATCTTTCTGCCGCTTTGCTGCTGAATCTATTGTGCTTCAACTAATTTAGCAGATTTTGTGACTCCCAGATATCAGGCTTATCTTTCACCGTGAATAGCAGGGGTCGGCTACTTGAGGCCCCCGCCACAACGTCAACGCCACCTCCATTCTTTCTGTTGTCACTTCCTATATGCAGGCCGACGACCCTGTTTTGACTTAAAATGCGATTTGCGCTTATAACCTGTAGATGTGTGACTGAAACTTGTGGACATTAGTGCTGGAAATAAACATGATTTTTAACCCACTACCCCCAAATAATGCCACATCGCCAAGCTTGTACGCTTTACCTGCAAAGCCCCCTTCTCCCTCCTCCACTACATCACTCCTTACGATTTGCCGTCCCGCACTCTGCTGTGTCGGCATCATGCAACTTGTCTCACCGTGTCACTAGGTAGCCGGCCCCTGGTTTATGGTGGGGGACGCGCAGGATGTGCGCCTTGAGTAGGATACTCGGCCACTCAACGCTACGACCTTTCTTCTGTCGTGCGTGTTTCACATACACGCCATGCATGTCTGTTGCCAGCCGATTTCAGAAAGCTAGGCAATGATGTAAGCGATGCCTATCTGCGCGCTAGGTCGGAATCGTGACGTATATGCATATGTTAAATAAGAACGGTGTTTAATCTTAATGAATAAGCAGATGAGTCAGAATAGGGTAGGGTCTTTCAGATGTGTTGTTGGCGTAGCATTTCATCGTCTTCTTAGCTTTTTTTGTAATTTTGCGTTAAAACAAACAAAGACTAATGTGAATGTATTCACTACTTCTTTCATGTTTCCCATGCCTAATTTGCTAAGTTCTTGTTTTCGTAAGCTCTGTCTTAAAAATCACATCCCAACTCTTCTGGCCTTTTTGGCTTATACATACATACTGCGTATAGACTGGCTGCCATTCACAATCAGATAATTCTAGCTTGAGTGTTTTAAAACATATGTCGTATTCATTTCCGGCGGCAGGAACAGACAGCTCTTCTTGCTGCTCTCTAAAAATTTAAGGTTTTATTTGCCCTGTTGACACAGACATTGCGCTTTGAAAGAGAAATAGTATCTTGCCATAGACAAAGTCGTGTTAGATCATTTATTCTATCTAAACTTAAAAGAAGCCTTGCCTCATTCGGAATATATAAATTACAGCTTACTTGTTTAAATATAACCGAAAAGTATTGCAAAATGTAAGACATGAAGGACAGGAGAAAGGTCAGCACGCTGTCCGCTCTTTTTTGTTCTGAAATTTGGCGCCCTTTTTTCGTCTGAAACGGTCTGTTTAAATGTAGACTAATCACCCCTAAGTGGATTTTTCAACTTGCTTCGGCGAACTAAAAGGAAAAAAAGGCCCTCGTCGCTACATCACTTATTCGATATTGTGGAAAACTGTGAAGAAGAGAAGTATTGCTGCATCGCCTATTCGGAAAGTTTTTTGTATTGTATGCTAACAAGTTCACTCCAGCTAACGGGAGCACGGTCTCATTAACGCAGCATTAATAAAACGAATTCTTGAGCAGGGCACTCATTCGTTTTCTGAGCAGTTGTGCCGAGCTGTAATTCTGGGAGGAACGGCTTTTCAATGTGACATTTTAGCACCTTTCCTGCTGTTTCACACGAATGTAGCGAAAATGTGAAATAGAATGTAACTTGGCTGTGTTGTCGCGCACACTGCATCTGTCACAGTGACAGAACGTTGGGATCGTCTTTCTGATTTATGCAGAAATCACGTTTTTCCGGTTTTGTGTCACATTCTCCTCACCTACCGCCACTTTTTTAAAATCAAGACGTTGTATTGTGGTCTCGAGCATATTGTCATCAGGCATGACTTCCGGGCATGACTGACATATGCACGGAGAGTTGTTGCCTCTGATGTTTCTCTAACCACCTAAAAACCTGAAATCATGAAATTACGCGTCTGAAACTCGAAGTGTCACCCTGGAGCACTAGTAGGCTTTCATGGCGGCAGCGCAAGGGTATACATACACGCACAAAACTTTATAATGAAATAAAAAGAAGTGACAGCATGTATCGTTAACCAGTAATAATTTGTTTAGATATAGAAGTAAAAGATTTAATAAGGTAAGTTAACTGCGACGTGATTGCAACGCAAGTGTGGTTTATCAATTAATGTTGGCGAAATTGCTAGTATGAAGCGCCCAATAATCAAGTGTAAATGAAAGAAGGAGAAAAATAGCGAACAAATTGGAATATACAAACGCGTGCTGAGAATACCAGAGCAGTGAAAACGCAGGCCCGTATAGCTAGGGGCCTCCACTCCCTTCAAAATTCGAATGAATGGGTGTGTTTTGCCCAGAACCTATAACAAAAAAGGGCTTTTATCAAGCCTTTCAACAATTACCTCCCTCCCTGAAAAATATTCCTGGCTTTGGACCTGGAATGACGTATATGCAAAGCGAGCATATACATGCCTCATTTTAGGTACATCAGTGTCCCTCTGCATATCTGCAGTACAGTTGGAATAACACTTATCTATATATAGTCGGATATAATTGAAGAATTCCGGGGAAGCCCAGCCGATCACTCCCGTGACTAAAGAGGTAGCTCCGCTCATGCACTAGACAATGTTCTCCGAAGGCCAGTAACCCCGCCTTTTCAGAAACGGCCGGCTGTCTCAAGGCGTTTGTCCGGTGTGCGTGCTCATTGGGGTATACATCCGCCAAATGCCGCAGAATTCCAAAGTTGTATCAGAATATAGAGTCGTAGAGGGCGCGGCTGTAGACGCTGGCGTCGTCTGCAGCTGCCACCTCGCGCTATAGTTTGTAGCGTCGTCGGGGTAGATTGGGTGGGATGACCAAGATCAGGCAGGTCATGAAAGCAGGACGTCCATTTAGGAAACTTGAAAAAAGGGATTTATTTGCATTCAAAGAAAAGTTAACTGGTCATCGTTGTTCCCCCTTCGGCGCCCGCCGTCTCCTCCGTCCTTTTTATCCCTCTCGTTGCCGCCCCTCTCCCTCTATCTCGGTCCATCAGTCCACTTCACGAAAGGCAGGGGCGGCCCGCAGTAAGAGGGGGGGATCAAGGGGGTGAATCGTCCACCCGGAACCCGACTTCCCCTCAGCTCTATGCTCAGTTGTTCCGGGTGGACCCATCCCTCCAAGAAGCAGCGACGAATCTTTCGTTCCCCGAAACCGCCGCCGCATTCCGCAGGGCCCAGCCGTGGCGCCAGCGCACCGTCCCGCGACACAATGGTCAGCCTCAACAGTCGCTGCGTTCGCGGAACTGAGTGGCGGCGACATCGCGCTCGCCTCGAAGACGTCACTGGCAGCGGGACGCAACAGACTCCTCCGCCGCCGAAAGACTCGACTCGAGGGTGGCCAACTGTCGGGTCACCTGAAGCGTCGAGACGACATGTGCAAACACTCGGCCTCTCTGGGCCTCAGCACTCGCATCACCAATAACCCTGTTCCAGGGATACACAACACAAGCACACACACTCTGGTCGGCGTGCCCGAGCGACACGCCCACCGGACGCCAAAACTGCCATAATTTTACCCCATGATTGCCCTCTCTTTCTTTCTCTTTTTTTTTTTTTGTGGTGGTCAGCCCTTGGAAAAAAATCTAAATGCCGTGACCTCAGCCGCGATAGAAACACATCAGTAAAAAAAGAAACAGCAACAAGAAAATCAGTGTTCGACTCTAAAATCCACGGCTCAGTTCATCGGCGTTCTTATTCTGGTTCCCCTTTCTATATTTGACCTCGAAGTTATACTCCTGTAGTATGAGGCTCCATCTCAACAGCCTCCCGTTTTTATTGGACATTTGCTTCAGCCATGAAAGCGGGCAGTGGTCAGTCTCGACCGTGAATTTTGTGCCTTGAATATAGCATCCTAGTTTTTGAATGGCCCACACAATGGACAAACATTCTTTCTCCGAGGCACTGAAAGCCTCTTCTCGGGGAGTCAGCTTCCGACTGAGATAGAGCACCGGATGCTCTTCACCTCCCTCGTTAAGTTGGGCCAAGACGACACCTAGACCTCGGTTGCTGGCGTCGCATTGGAGAATGAATTCTCGGCTAAAGTCTGGCGCGACAAGCACGGGCCGAGAAGACAAAGCTTTCTTCAAGTTTTGGAAGGCCTCCTCCCTCTCGGTGCTCCAAGTTACCACTTCCGGTTCAGGTTTTCGCAGGCTGTCGGTTAGCGTGCTGGCGAGCTCCGAATAATTTGGAATGTAGTGCTGGTAATAGCCTGTCATTCCTAGAAATGTTCGCACCTCCCTTTTGTTTACGGGTCTTGGGAAGTTGACTATCGCAGCTACTTTGGCTTTCATTGGTTCCCGTTTTCCCTGCCCTATGTCGTGTCCCAAATACGTGACACGGGCTTGGCCGAACTGACACTTCTCGGCTTTAATAGTCAGGCCCGCCCCTTTGATTCTTTCAAGCACCGTTCGTGTGTGCTGCAAATGAGACTCCCAATCATTAGAAAATACGGCCACGTCGTCTAGATATGGCACCGCAAATTCTTCTAGTCCTTCTAGCACCCGATCCATTAACCTTGAAAAACAGAAGGGTGCGTTTTTCAAACCAAAGGCCATGGTGACGGGCTGATAAACGCCAAAGGGTGTTACAAATGCTGCATACCGACTTGCTCGTTCAGTTAAGGGCACCTGCCAATATCCTCTCACTAAATCTAGGGTTGAAATGAAGGTAGCCCGGCTTACCAGCTCCACCCTTTCCTCTATGTTAGGCAACGGGTACACCTGGTCTTTTGTGATCGCATTCAACCTGCGATAATCGACGCATGGCCGTGGTTCTTTCCCCGGCACCTCGACCAACATCAAAGGGGAGCAATAGTCACTATATGCTTCTTTGATCACGCCAAGGCGAAGCATCCTTTTAACTTCCGCCTTCATTAAGTCCAGCTGTCGCGGAGACACGCGGTACGCCTTCGAGCTAAAAGGGACCTCTGTAGTCAGCTCGATATCATGTTGTACCAAATGAGTCCTTCCGAGCCTTTCCCCAAAACATTCCAGTTTATTCTGGCGATTAGGCCTCAATATCATCACTTTGTCGCCCGGGTTGAATGATCGCGTCCTGGCATTTCTATCATAGTAGCGCTTTGAAGCGTCTCGCCTCGCCTCTAGGTTGCCCTTCACGATCTCACGACACTTATGTAACCTTTGCATTAGGTTCAACACATACTCGATCACACATTTAGGCCCCCGATCATCCTCCCACAGTTCGCGGACTAGCCTCAGCGGACCTCGAAGATTCCGGCCATACACCAGCTCTGCCGGTGCGAACCCGGTTCCCTCGTGTGGCACTGTGCGCAACGCAAATAGCGTGCCCGGTAAACAACCATCCCAATCACACTTCCTTTCATGGCAAACAGCTCTCAATACTTTTTTTAGGGTAGCATGCCATCTCTCCACACTGTTGCTTTGTGGGTGGTAAACCGAGCTATGCAAAATTTTAACGCCACATTTCTCGAGAAACATGGTCGTGAGAGCACTCGTGAAAACGGTTCCCTGATCCGATTGCATTTCGGCAGGGAAACCGAGGCGCGAAAATATAGAAAGCAACGCATCGACCACCTCGACCGAAGTTGCCTCCTGTAAGGGCACCGCCTCGGGGAACTTCGTTGCAGGACACAATAGTGTGAGAATGTATCTGTTCCCCGCACTTGTTTTCGGCAACGGCCCC